ACACACACACACACACACACACACACACACACACACACACACACACACAGGAATAAACCTAAAAATGTTCTTGCAGAGGACACGACTTCAGTTTCCAGCACCCACATAAGGTGGCAATCATCTGCAAACCCAGCTCCTGGGAGACTCAGTGCCTCTGTCCTTCATGGATACCTACACTCCCATGCATGTACACATAATTAAAAATAAAAATAATCTTTAAAACGTATAAATACAAACCAGGCACAGCAGTGCACACCTTTATTCCCAGCACTCAGGAAGCAGGGACAGTTGGATCTCTGAGCCTGTTCTATAGAGAGCTCCAGAACAGGCAGGGCTACACAGAGAAAAACTGCCTCAAAACAAACAACAAACAAAAGGACTCCAGCTGGGCACAGCAGTGAACCATTCCAAACTCAGGGCTAGTCCAGGCTACCACCACCAGGCTCTGCCATTCATGTCCACCAGGAGTTATAAAGACATACTGATTTCCATATAAAGTCAGTGGCCACTAAAAAAAAAAAAAAAAAAAAAAAAAAGCAATTTCCTAACCTGACAGCTCTTCAGAATAAACCTGGCTTAGATTCAGATCCTCCAACACCTGATGGGACTTGAGACAACACTGGGAAAAAGAGCCACAACTGGAAGAAAGGTTTAACTTCGCAACTATGGCTCCTTCTCCCACTAATCTCTCCTGCCGTAAGTGCCAGGAACTGTGTCACACCTCTCTGGCAGGCCCAGCTGAGTGTGTCTCACTCCCTTACTCTCTCAGACATCTCCTTCCATGAATTAACCGCCTGATGATTTAGGATCTGCACTCAGATACAGCAATTCACACAGAAGTATACTGCTAACAGAGAGCTGGGTGAACCTTCTCACTGGGGCCAACCAATCCCAAGTACTATGTAGGCACTGGGAGTGTGTGAAAGACTTCCCTCCATCCAGCCCTGTTCTAACTTCTATCTAGTCAGAAGTTAAGGAAATGACAATGACCTGGAAAACAAATACTGAATACTATGCCTCCTGACCTCACTCTTGGGAGTATACGTCAGAGATAATCACAACAGGCTGGGCATGTAAGAATGCACCCACATGTTTTAACCAACTATCTGGATATGGATTGGGAAAGCAGGATGTACTCATCTGGCTTTCCTAAGTGTTTCACTTTTCACATCTCAAGTGTTTATACTAACACACGCAGTAGATGCCTGAGTGTTCTATGTTCCACTTGGCTTGCTGAGGCTTGTATTTTAGGTTATTCCCAGAGTAAAACTTGGCCAAAACCAGGTAACCTTTGTTCTCTCCTTCCCACCAAACA